GGTCATATGGACGTAGTTTGGGGATAGAAATTGGAGGATTATAAGTGAGGGATGGTGATTAGAGGATCATAAATGGGTGATGAGATTGTAGTCTAAAAAATGAAAAAAAAAATACTATAGTCGAGTGAAGGTGGTCAGAGGACCGTAAATGGTCGATGATGTCCAGACAACCATAATCACAAGATGATTATCAAATGATCATAGTCAAGTGATAATATCTAGATTACCATAGCTGAGCGATGGTGTTCATATTACCATATTCGAGTGATGATGGCTGAAGGATCATACTTGGATAATGGTGATCAGAATACTATAGTACTTAGGCAATGATTTTCAAAAGATCGCATTCAAGCAATGATTGCCAAAGGATAGTAGTCGAGAGAGTGTCTAGAAGATCATAGTTGATTGATGATCAGAGGATTGTAGTTAAGAAATGGTGATGGAATGACAAAAGACAAGCAATAATGAATGAGTGACCGTAGTGATTGGCATAATTGGGCGATGGTGCTTAGAATTTCAATGTCGAGTGATAGTGGTCAAATAACTGTAATTGATGGATGATGATTGGAGAGATATAGTTAGGTAATAATGATTAGAGGATCATAGTTGTACAATTATAGTCAGAGGATTATCATCGTGCAATAATGATTGAAGGACTTTAGTTGTTCGACTATAGTGGTCAGAGGACTGGTCATGAAATGATAGTTAGAGGATCATAGGTGAGAAATGATGATCAAAGGACCATAGTTTAATGATGGTAGTCGATATTCGGGTCATAATAATTCAATGATAGTGATAATGATGGTTTGATGATGGCGGCAACAATGGTCCGGCTAGGTTGATCAAGTGGTGGTTCGCTAAGGATATTCTCGTGATGGTATGATGTAAGCAGTTGGGTGGTGGTTCGATGGAGCTCCAAGATTGTTTAAGCCTCTACCTCTATGTTGTTTTCAATTTCAAGCCAAATGTCCTCTCTATATAGAGAATGAACCTATTTATAACTTTTTAGAGTGTGGCCCAAATTGATTCCCCCTTGATTTTATATGAATGTTTTAGTTTTTACATGCCTTAATGTGTCAAAATAATGCACTCGTTAGATTCATTTCATCATGATGATTGATTTGATTATAAGCATTCAATGTTTGGAGATCATTTAGAATTCTAATTAATATCTCAAAAAATTTAAATATGTTTCAAGTGCTTGATTTGGGCTTGTTCAAACTCAGATCATATCACTTTTGATGTTTATGAGTTCATCTCATCATAACATTCAATTCATCATAACATTCAATTCGACTGTAAGTTTGCTAAATTTGGAGTTTGGATGGCCCTGAATTTGATTCTAAAGGCATTCAATTCAAATACAAATTAATATTAATAAATGATTAAGTTGATTTCATATCATTTACTCCCTATCTTTGGACATCAGAGTCTATGTCAGCTGCATTATATATTTAGTCTTTGAAAAATTCTATGGTACAAAACTATAAGTTCAAAAAATAATTATAAGTTGTGGCTGCTCTCTAGACACATTAATGTGGACATCCCAAAAATTTTGGAATTTGATCCAAATTTTTTCATTAAAATATGAATTGAGATTCATCAAATTTTGACATCATATTAATTAAAAAATATCCTTTCTTAAAATATGATTATTAACTTCAAACATCTTAATTATGAACCCTTAACATGATTAAGATCAGTGACATATATGATTTTAAGAAAATCATGATAATAAGATCAACTAGTGGATGGATCCAATTTTCTGAATGAGTGACTCCTAATCCCTTAGAACAAAATTTAGATTTCATGAGCATAAGTTTTGAAGTAATTTATATTAAATATATGACTTATTAATTATATTTTAATTGTATTTGACAATTTTTTAAATACATGGATGGATTTTGATATGGCATCATTCAATCATTCTTCTTTCTTTAACATGTTTCATGAATCATAAGTTTAATATGAAAAATTAATGAAACTTCTATAAAAATGTGATTAGCTTCTACTAACTAGCATAATTATTGATATAACCAATGGTTAAAGATAATAAATAGATGTAAAGATAAATCATTATATATTTTAGCACATAATTATGATAATTATTTTCATTTAGAAACAAGTTTATAATCTTATTTTCTTTTCTATTCTCTTAAAGATACGATGGATTAAAAAATTCATTAAATTAAGGAGAAAATGATCAACATAGTTCATTGACCTTGTATGAAGGATCAAAATTGTTCCCAAGACCCAACTATATTAACATACTATTTTGATCTCTCAAATCTTTAAAAAGAAACGAAAAAAATTTCATGATGGGACTATTTTAGTTTCTTTTTAAGGATTCAAGTGATCAACATTGTTCTTTTATATAGTTGTGAATCTTTTTGATCTTTCATAAAGAGTCAATGGACCATTTTAATGGATCATTTTGATCGTTTTCTCTTAAATCAAGTATGAATTTTGACAAGATTTTAGTTCTCGAAGTGCTAAGTTTGAGTTAGAACCTTTATAAACCAATTTTAGACCATCCATATTTTATTTTCGATGATCTTAAACAGGTTTATCTCCTCTTTTTCGGGTAAGAAAAAAGGATATATCTCCTCTTTTTCGGGTCAAAAAATGGGTCAAAATCGGGTCAAAGGGTTAACCCGAACCCGACCCGATTTTTGAAACATGTCGAAATGTTGAACCCGAACCCGACCCGTTTCGGGTTCGGATTGACCTTAACCAGAAATTTTCGAGACGGGTTGGAGTCGGGTTTTCGGGTCGTGTCAAATATTGACACCCATAGTTGCCACTACGGCCAACAACAATCACAGCTACCACCGCCAATAATCACCATCGGCATTCAAACCACTAATCCGTCGGGGACTCTGCCTTCATTTCTGGCTGTTCCGCCATCTTTATTATTTTGCCAACTATTCATGGTCATCGCCATCATCGTTGCCTTGTCAGCCGGTCTCACTTTTATTCAAAATTCAATATATATATATATATATATATAAGATATTAAATATATATTTTATCTTATATTAAAACATTAAGAAAATATAAAAATGGCCCTAAAGTTATTACCAAATAGAAGCACATAAGAATTAAATTTAAAACAAAAACTTAGCTTCTGCTGCTCCATAATAAAGAGAATGACCAAGTATTAATTATCCACGTATGAAATAGATGGAAAGTGTGTCCGCAATCAATTGGAAGGTAGATCGAAAGGTAAGCAATGGCCCTATGCAACAAATGCCATAACTTGATATAAATGACCAAGGGCTTATTTATCAAGTTTAATAGCCAAATATAAAGAATCATTACGAGTACTACTCTATATTTGCAAAACCGTATGAGTATAGAGGTGTCAAATTAGGTTGATAGGTCGAATTTGAATCCGATCTGGATTCAGTCAAGTCGAATTTAACCCGTTTCATAAACTAGTCAAAAAGACCAATCCGATTACGACCCAAATAATCCGAACCTAACCCGTTAATTTGTTTTAGTTTAGAAAAATTATGACTTATTAACTATAATGTTTAGGATGTTTGATAAAAAAATAAGAAGAGTACTCTTGCAAATAAAAAATTTAAGAAAAAAGGATATTAAACATATCATTTTGTTAGTCAAAAGTAGGTTTGTAGATCAATCTGAATATGAAATTTTTAGGTCAACTTAACGGGTCAAGTCATTTATTGACACCTCTAATGACTATTAGCTATTTTAGTTGAGAACAAACATAAAAACTATTGTTATTATCAATTTGAATCTTACATGTTTTAGCAGTATATTAAACTAAAAATTTTTAAAAAAAAAATGCACACATACATTGTAATAAGTATATATTGCTATGATTTAAATAAAAAAAATAAATTAAATAAATATTCAAATAGTTTTGTTATTAAATTAATAATTAAGAATTATTACCTGTCATTTGAGTTTGCAACATAGGGACTACAATGCAAGAAGGATATCTTATTGAGACAAATTTGAAACCCTAAACCCATATTATAACCTTTCTACATTGATGCAGCTTTTCTTGGTCTGTTGGTTGGGAGCTTTGGCTACCAATAAAGAGGACTTAGATACGAGTTTTGCATGTGTTGTGTGTATGAATTTGTCTTAATTGACCTCAATATCAATCTAAATATGAGTTACAATAATAGCTGCAAAGCGAGTAAAGTTACGATAGAAACAAGTTTATTATGCAATTCTTAATATAGCACTTTGTGGTTTTTTTGAGCATCTAGACTCCATTAGGCCTAAAATAATCCTATGCAATGATGATGGCCATTTGCAGAAATTTATTTCAAAGATTTGGGCTTCTCCAGGTTAGAAAATCTTGTCATGCTGGTTGAATTGAATAAATGGTTCTTTATAGATTTAAAAGTGGACATTCTAATCCTTAGCTTAAATAATTTTAAATATTTAATATAAGTATCAATAATAACCTATACTATAAGGATGATGCTCGCCTTCTTGGTCATCAGTCTCCTCTCCTATAAGAACATCTTAGCACGCCACTAAAGATCTCTTGATGATATTTTTAATATTTTATGACTCCTACTACTTCTACCTCTGCCATAATAAAAATCAAAATCTACAATTTATGTCTATTACATTACATAATTATCTTATTTAATTATGACGAAGGACATCATTTATAAACTATGATTTACATTAATATATTTGATTTTCCCCTTCTTAAGCTTCTGATGTAAAAACCTCATCTCTCTTATAAGCAACTATATCAACTAATTTATTTGTATGTTTGGGATTTTATACAATGCTAAGGTGATAATCTCCCCAAAAATCAAATATTCCAATGATTCAAAGGGCATAAAGCTTTCCTAAACAGCATAATACATCAAAAAACCATGTACTAGCTTATGGCTCAAACTAATTTCTTATTACATTACTACATCCCCTAAGTAATGTACTCTGTGCCATTAGAGTGTGCCCATGGTAAACAAAAATCAACATAAAAAAGCCTAAATTTGATATTACATAAGAATCGTCATAATATGTGCTTATGTACAACGCTTTATAAAATATTCAATAGGTCATATATATTTTACAAGTGGCCTTAGTAAAACCATATAAATTCCAGAGCAAAAGACTGCCTCAATTTCCAGCATTCTCATCTGACTCTTCTTCTTCAATTTCGACTGATTGAGGCTTCGTTTGGGACTAATTTGATCACGGTTTTTTCAAGAAATTTTTGTACTAAAAAGTTGCTATAGAAAGCAATAAGAAAGCTGTCCGAAACGAAGCTTGAATGCTTGAAAGGCTGTTGCCGTTAACCTTCCTTTATTGACAACAAAAATGAAAAAAAAGAATTGATGCCGATCACAGGAGAAAAGGCACTCTCCAAACTCAAGTGAAGTGTGATAATTCACCATTTCACTTTGATATCCCTTGATGATTGAAGTGATCACAAGAGCTTCAACAACCTGTAACTATGATGATGAAGACTTTCCTTCCAATTTTGGGGGTAAAATGATAGAATCACTTGCAGGTGATGGAAAAAATTCAGAAACGATCTCACAAGAAAATGGTGAAGTGATGTCCATGTCGATTTCACGCTTTCGATCCAAAAATGCCGGCTTCACAGGAGAAGCAATTTGCTTTGTTTTGCTAGTTAGCATGGCAACCACTTCTGACATTGATGGTCTTAAGCTTGGATATGGCTGCAGACATAATAGAGCCACTTGACAAACATATAAGACATCATCTTCCTCAAATTTATCTGCTTTTAGTCTAGGATCAACCAGGTCGAGCACGATCGAGCTCTCGTAAAGCTTCCAAGCCTACCAGAAGATAAAAAAGAGTAAAAGTCATACATTTCTGGTTAAATCATTAGAATCTGCAATTTAATACATTTCTGGAAAAAGTCTTGTGTAACAAACATACATATTCCGGGAGATATTGCATTTTGGCTGGTAGAGTTAGGTCAGTATTCTTCCTGCTACAGATGATCTCCAGAGTGAGAACTCCAAAGCTATAGATGTCAGCCTTTTCTGATAGTTCTCCTTTGATAGCATATTCAGGTGCGGTATATCCTCTGGATGAGATCATTATATTGATAATATGAGGGACAGTCAGACATATAACAGATTTAACATATCTATTTTCTAAATAGAATACTGATCAGTAAAAATAACAAGAAATCATTAAAAATCAGTAGAAATAATGAACAAGTTATATGTTAGGCTAGTTCACCCTGAACCGGCCCAGCCTATCCAAGGGCCGGCTTAGTTGTATTACATGAGGTGGAAATCATCCGCTCCTCACCCCCGACTTTGCCCACCACTAGTGTGGGCCCCACTTGTCAAATTGAATTCAAATTGAAGAGAGGGTGGCTAGGGCTTGGGAGGGAAATCAGATTAGGAAAACTTTTGTATTAAAGAGCATGTGAGGATTAGGGGGATATTATATTTTGATTGATTGGAATTAGGGTTTTTGGGCGACTTGGGCTCTAGACTCTATTGTCTAAAGATTCGGGAGAGACAATCCTCCGCTCAAATTGAGGATCAATTGTATCTTGCTTTGAGTTTTGCTTTGCTTTGATCCCACTATCACAATCTATTGTTTCTAGATTGATTTGTCCAGTTTTCCTATTTTTTCTCACTGTTTTGGACCAATTATTGCTAGGGTTGCTTGCGAACTCAAGTATTTCCTCTTGGATTACTTGCGAACTCAAGTATTTCCTATCATTATACTACTTTATGACTTGAAAATTTCATGACATTGGCCAAGCTCAACGGTAATGATCTCGAAGTACTTGGTATAAGGCAAATGATGATATTGATGATGATACTTACAGGGTTCCTGCAAATTGTCCGCTGAGATATGCTTCATCTTCTGGGAATAACCTTGCCAGCCCAAAATCACTGATTTTAGGCTGAAATTTATCATTCAAGAGAATATTGCTAGCCTTGATATCTCTATGTACAATCCTTAAGTTTGAATCCTCATGCAGATACTGTAATCCCCTGGCTATCCCAACAATGATTTGAAACCGGATTTTCCAGCTGAGAAATATCTCACTGTTCTCTGTGCCAAGAAAATTTTATTATAAGCAACACTAAAAGAGTTGACAGGGATAAGCAAATGATGCAAATATATTAACCATATATTAAGCAATCCAAGCTCCTGTTCTTCATGAATTCATAGACAACCAGTCTCTGTGATCCCTCGGAGCAACAACCGATGAGGCGAACCAAATTCTTGTGCTGGATGCTTGTTAGCATCCTCACTTCTGCAAGAAACTCAGACTCTCCTTGTCCAGACTTTCCTCCAATGCACAATTGCTTAACAGCTATTCTCCTTCCATCATCAAGTCTTCCCTATGAGACAAAAGAATCATGTTGGCAAAAGTATTGAGGATCATTTTTGAAGAAAAGCTAAGTAATAGCTTCAATTAAAATAGAAATGCTTAGTAATTGAATATCAGATAAAAATACTTAGTAATTGAAAGTTAGATATCTAAGTAATCAAAATAGGGCTGGTTAAAGGACATCCCTATAAGCAATCACAAAGGACATCTCTATAAGCATTCACTCACTTATCAAATCTCTAACTCTATAGAGCGGATTATAACTCTAGAAAGCTCACAATTGAAAATCCTCATGGGTGTCTTAAATTTGTGTAAGATCCATAGAGGCTTTGAACTTGATAGTCTTAGGCTTGTGGAGTTGGATATGCTTGGCAGACCGCTTTAGATTCGAGAAGGCTCTTCCCACCCTTTTAAATTTGGAAGCCTTCTTAATCCATTTGAAGATAGAAAGGTATATCAAGCCTCTCAGATTTGGTTAGCACTACTAGCATTTCTTGTTAATACATGATTTTTATACTATGAAGCATTAATTTTCAATTATATTGTCAAAAACTTTACAATAAGCCATCACGTAGTTGAAATCAATTCAAAATAATTTTCAAGCTTGACACCCTCCCTCCAAGCTAGACTCAAGCAACTTTGGGAGCATTTAATTAAATAAAAGATCAAACAAGTTCTGATATTAGTTTTAATTGGAGAAATGTATTATATTTTTTAAATAACAAAATAACTGTTGATAGGCAACCTTCTTCATCAATTTAGGCTTCGTTTGGGACGGCTTTCTTATTGCTTCTTAAAACAGCTTCCTAGTACAAAAATTAAAATTTTTTTACTAGGAAACTGCTTTAAGAAGCAATAAGAAAGCCGTCCCAAACGAAGCCTTAGACTAGCCAAATTTTATGAGGGATTTGAAGACCCTATTCAACACCGATAATTGTGGCAATTGCCGGACATTATTGATTTGTGGCATCTAAGCTATAAAAAAATATAATAATCACATCAAGAGTTTACTCTCTTTGTAATTATTATAGGCTTCTCATGACCCTTGGGATAATTTCTTCTTTTTCTCTAATAACAGATCCCATCGGTTGCTTGCCTTTCTAGAGTAATATATCATCATATTTTCCCAACCTTTCAAATATCTAAACCATCACATTTTTCATCTCAACATATGCTTTTGTACTCATTTTATCACTTCAATCGCCACTTCCTCAAAACCTTTCCCATCACCATTTCTCTCTTTAACTTTGTAACTTTTAGCCTCTTCTCTATCTTCTCATTTTTTCAAGCAAACCACAATAACCTCACAAACACGCCTTTTCAATGCAAATACAATGCTCGAAAGTATTATAAGGTGGTCATGAATTTAAAAAAAATATACTTTGGGGTAAGGGATAGGATATTGATAGATAGGAAGCAAGGTTTAATAAGATGATAAACTATAATTATTATTACTTGAAGTAAACGAAACATGAGCCCATAGTTAGGGTTTTGGAGATATCTGAATTATTCATTGTCATATTAATAAATCAACACGTGTCCAATATTTATTAGACTTTCTAATATATGGTTAATGGACTATTGGCAATGTGAAATCAATCTTTTGAGGACAAATTTCTCTTTTTTCTTTTTCTACCATTATACTTCACATACAATTTAGCATACAATGTACTTTTTGAGATGATTAAGTAACCCACCACCCTTTGTATTGAAAATACGCATCCTGTTTACTAATACTAAGATCTTGAATAGTAAACCTTTGTTAATCTGTTAGATCGGTCCATTGGACCGGTCCAGTCGGTCCCTTATGGACCAGCTCACGTGGCCTAGGCTGAACAGAGGCAGATGTTACGCCTCTCCTGTACGTGTGGCTCAAGTCGCCGGGACCAAGGAAGCTATTTAGGAAGATTTTTTGAGGGAGTTGGGAGGGAAATTTCAAACTATGGTCTGTTTAGAGATTTCCTTTTGAATTGTATGCATTAAATAATTTGTTTTCCTAGGGTTAGGGCATCCTGAATTTGGTTGAAATTTAAGTTCTCTTAGGTTTTTGGGCTCTAGCGGCGTCTAGAGATTTGGGAGAGATAGATCCTCCTCTCGAATAAAGGATCAATTGTATCTAGCTATTTTCTTCCGTTAGTTTGTGTTCTTGCAATAAAATTCCTACTTTTCTCTGATTTTCTGTTAGATTTGTGGAGATTTCTCACTGTTTTTGACAAGATTGTTAGCTTTTACTTGAGATCTTCAAGTGTTTCCTACCAAATTGATATCAGAGCAGATTTTGGGATCATTTGTGGGCTGTTGTCTGGAAAATCAGCAGTTGTTTTTGACAGGTGGCAAGGATTTTTTGCTGTTTTTTTATCAATATCCAGATTTTTGAACCTACAAAAATTATGGATATTAATGGAGGCCAAGAAGGTAGATGTGCTGGATAAACGCCTTGAAGGGGAAATGAGCCAAATAAAAGCGATGGTGGAATATCGAGTTTCATCTATAGAAGATAAGATATCATCCGTGGAAGAAAAAATTTTCGATCTTCATGTGATGGTGAAGAAACTATTGGAAAATCAAATTCAAACGGTGGCATTGAAGACAAGGGGATTGGTGGGAAGAACTATGAATTCTGAATTTCGTAGGAGGAAAAATGATGTGGAGATCATGGAGGAGAAATGGGGAAGGTATGGAGAGAGGCGTGGATATGAGGAGCATGAACCAAGGGGTGCTGGTTGGGATATAAAAGAGGGAACTTATGGTAGGAGGAGTGCGGATTTTGGAGAAAGGATGAGAGAAAGTGAAGAGGGGTTCGAAGATGAGTGTGTAAGGGAAGATCGAGACACTTGGGGAGGACCAAACACTAGGAAAAAAGAAAATTATGGGGTAATATGGGGAAACGGGGGAGATCCGAAGGTGCAGAAGCTAAAGATACCAATTTTTTAAAGGGATGTTGCACATGGGTGGATTTACAAGGTAGAGAGATATTTCACCGTCAAAGGTTTGATGGAGGAGGAAAATTGACAGCCATTAGTTTATGTTTGGAAGGAAAGGCGTTGTCTTGGTACCAGTGGAGAGATATGAGGAGGCCTATATAGAGTTGGAGGGAGTTCAACGAATGCTTATTGGAACATTTCCGAATAGATAGGAAAGGGGACTTCTATGAGCAATTCTTTGCACTTGTGCAAGAAGGTTCAGTGACAGATTATCGGGAGAAATTTGAGTACCTAACAAGTCGTTTAGATCGACTATCAGAGACTGTTATGGAGGAAAATTTTATGAAATGGCTCAAATCATATATTCGAGCAGCAGTGAGGGTCACGAGGCCTCGTGACTTGGGGGAGGCTATGGACTTGGCACAACTAGTGGAGGATCAGAAGTACCATGAGAGGGGAGCTAGAGACAGCAGTTCAGGCTGCTCTTACAGGATGACAACACCCTTCTAGCACCCAAGGGGCCTTCATCTGGCAATATTAATGAGACCCCCATGAAGAATCTAACAGGAGGAGGAAGTGGGGGGAACTTCAAAAGACTGATGGAGAGGGATATTCAGGATAAGAGGGCGAAGGGACTATGCTTCAAATGTGATGAGAAGTATACTCTATGGCACAAGTGTAGGGATCGAACTCTTTAGGTTCTCACCGTCTGTGATGACGAGGAAACTTGAGAGGGAGGTGAGAGTATGGGAGAGAGAGAGAGATGGAGGACAAGCTGCATCTGGAAGTGATGGAGGTCTCCCTGAATTCAATGGTGTGATTCATTATAATCATACCATGAAGGTGAAGGGGAAAATAACAGACTAGGAGGTGGTGTTAATTGATAGTGAAGCTACCCATAATTTCATCGCCAACTAGGTCGTGGACAAATTGGAGTGACATTGGTAGATACATGGTGTTATGGAGTGATGATGGTTACAGAGGTGGAGACGGGTCAGGGGATATGTAGGGGAGTAGTGTTGATCATACATGGGGTTCATGTGATGAAGGATTTTCCCTCATTGGAGTTAGGGAGCACTAATATCATCCTGGGGATGAAGTGGCTACAGACCTTGGGGGACACCAAGGTCAACTGGGGATCATTGACAATGGAGCTGATTGTGGAAGGGAGAAGGGTAGTGATCAGGGAAGATGCAGGGCTCACCAAAGCTATGATATCACTTAAAACCAAGGTGAGTGGCATACAGGTGGTGGAGGAAGGTTATCTGATGGAACTACATAGACTGGAGGAGATAAGATTGGAGGAGGGTAGGGACATTTCACTTTTAGTACAGTCACTAATTCAGCAGCTCAATGAGATTTTCAGCCGCCTCAGTGGTTGCCTCCTCTGCGGGAACATAAGCATGCTATCATCTTGAAGGAAATGATTTAACCTCTCAATGTTCATCCGTATCATCATCTCCAAATCCAGAAGAATGAGATTGAAATATTGATTAGGGAGATGCTGGAAACAGGGATCATACAACCCAGTGTCAGACCATTTTTCAGTCCAGTGTTATGGATCAAGTACTTTAGCAGTAGTTTCCTTCGTTCCACCTTGAGGGCAATGTGGCACTTTGGGAGGGGAATATTGTTGGACCAGTCCATTGGAACAAGGCGGAACAAAGGAGGATGTTCCGCCTCTCCTGTATGTGTCGCTCAAGCCGCCGGGTCCAAGGAAGCTATTTAGGAAGGATTTTGAGGGAGTTGAGAGGGAAATTTCATTGTATGGCTGTTTAGAGATATCCTTTTGAATTATATGCATTAAATATATTGTTTTCCTAGGATTAGGACATCTTGAATTTGCTGAAATTTAAGATCTCTTAGGTTTTTGGGCTCTAGCGGCATCTAGAGATTTGGAAGAGATAGACCCTCCTCTCAAATAGAGGATCAATTGTATCTAGCTATTTACTTCTTTTAGTTTGTGTTCTTGTGATAAAATTCATGTTTTTCTCTGATTTTATGCTGGATTTGTGGAGATTTCTCGCTGTTTTTGTCAAGATCTTTAAGTTTTACCTGAGATCTTCAAGTGTTTCCTAACATAATCTTCAACAGATAGTAACTAATCCCAAATCATCTGAATATATTTGGTTACTAATTAGTTAGGTCCTCAACCTTTTACAGGTAGAGACAAGGAACAGAATTTATGTTATTTTTAAGAATATCATATTCTTTTTTACTCCTAATAGAAAAATACCTACATTTACAGAAGTGATTACTTTTCTAGTTAAATATACCTGATAGACTGGTCCAAAGCCACCTTTTCCAAGTTGGTTCCTTGGATGGAAGTTCCCTGTTGCTCTTTTGAGAGTGTGATAGTCAAAATGATAGATTGTTCGAAGATCACTGCTAAAATGTTCTGTAATTGCAGTCATAGTAAAATAAATAAATATAATTGAGAATTATTTTTATTTGTGAATGGATTAATTTTAAGGATGCATGACACTAACCTGGAAGATCAGAAGGACCATTGGTTGAGAACTTTTTTGATCTCCATATGTTAGTTAATTTACACTTTCTATGCTTCCATAAAACAGCAAAGAGAACCAGCACAATAAGAAGAACTAGTACACTGCATAGGAAAAAGGCCAACGATGCATTCATTTCCGTTTTTGCATTTAGCTCAGGAAAAGATGTTTCAGATGGTGATGGGGAGATAACTGCAGAAATACACATGAAATAGTAAACTCCTTTGAGGTAAAAATGAGTTAGTGGCAAATGCTATTAGAAAAAAAATATGAAATTACAATCATACTAACTGGACATAACATATTTAAATCCACTTTGTTCTTCTTCTTCTTTTATAAGAAGATTAAAGCTAGTTTATAATTCAGCCCAGCATTGTTTTCACAGACACGAGGGAATAAACCACAAATCTTCTTACTAGCTTGAATCTATTATGAGACTGTATTCCTTACAAACGATTATACGACAAACTCTTTTGAAAGCCACACAACAGAATCTCACATTTGGCAAGCATGTCAAGAATTCATGAGATCCTGTTGTTTGGCTTTCTTTTGGAAAGTACTAAGAATCTTATATTGTGTTAACTTTTCCTCTCATGATGATTCTAACTTGGGTTACACTTTCCTTGAGTTTAGAAATTTGAGCTAAATAGTTGGGATAAAAGACTATAAATAATCTGAGACCTTCTCGATCTGCAAAAGACTTGATTTTGTAGCCTTCTTTAGTATAAAAAAATGACCAAGTTAATCACTAGAAAGCCACAACAAAGCTAATCTTTAGCAAGGACTAAACTCTACTCAGATTAACAATTTTAAGTAAAAGAAAGAAGAGTCATAGATAGCTTATAAACTTGGCACTAAACGATTGATTATAGTACTCATAACTATTTTTCAATTACTTTCTTCCATCAAGAAACAAAGGGTTCGACTTTGTTGTAGTTAAACTCCAAGGGCGGGTCTTTTACATGAGCATCTCCCATGCTTCTTCGATTCTTTCATCATATCTGATCCAAACACTGACAATCAAATCTTCTGACTATTGGGACACGATAGCCTAAGGGTATAAAAAAAGGCTTTGATCTCTTAAAAGACGCAAAATTTCTTGCTCGATGATTCTCTCTTGTTATTCCGAGCAGGTTAAAGACTCCTGAAAGAATGGTAGCTATAGAAAACCAGAGAAGGAGAGCATACCGTCAAGCGTTTGTCAAACAATGTAATGATTTCTATCTTTCTTTTGCCCTCCAAGTTCAAGAATGAGCGACTCTACCTTCCTTCTGTAACCCCTCCTCGCTTAGTTTTTCATCCATATATTTCTTTTTCTGTGGGTCGGAATTCGGAGCGCTTGAAACAGGTCCAGATGGAGACAGAAGGAATGCCGGCACGTCCAAGGCCATCGATATAAACTAGGTAAAAGGAGCTTGAAATCTCGACGATCCTTTCCTAGAGGATGAAATGGGGAGAAGATGAACAAGTCTATCCTGAGCGTCCCCCATCAAAAAAAAAACTCTGTTTTTATGCTTTGGCATTAATCACAGCTCATATCCTGCATTTTCGCTTGTCTTTTGTTTAATTCTTTATGCATTACTACGAAAATTGTAAGACTCCAAGTGCTGACTTTGTCCGAGAAGCGAGAAATCCTCGGCAAAGCGGAAGTAAATACGCAGCTGATGTGATGCAACGGTAGTAGCGCAGGCTCAAACTTTAAGAGTAGCCACCAGTAATAATTTATTTACTTCACGCTAGGGTGTCAATTAAGGTCAAATACGTTGAGCCTGTCATAAATGGGTTGACCTGATCAGATTCGCGAGCCCGAAATAGTGTTTAGGTTTCATCCAGTGCGAGTGCTCTAGCGCGATGAGTCACGAGTGCGGGGCTTGCGGTTCCGTCGAGCATGAGTCGATAGCAGCGAAAGTTAGCGTCTCAGCGGAGGTTGACTCGGCTGGTCGAGCGCGAGTGCCATTCGATGCGGTCATGCGAGTGTGGGAGCGGGGCTTGCCGCTCGGTGCCGTCGAGGCGTCGAGCACGAGTCGTCGAGTCGAGATCTCAGGTCTGCTGGTATGGGCTAGGAGGCTAGGCCCTATAGGGACGTCAAGCGTGCGTGACATTCGGCGGCAACAACATCAGCTGAGAGGCTTTATGGGTGACAGTGAGTCAATTCAAGTCAAATCCGGGTTTTCAGGTTGATTCGAACCCAACTTGAACTATAAATGGGTCCAAAAATAGGAACCGAACAAGACTTTATCGGGTTGATCTGAACCCGAATTTTTCGGATTGGATTCAATTTGAATTTTATGGTCGTACGAAATATTGACACTCCTACTTCAGGATACTTGTAAAAAAATTAGGTGATTGTGATAGGCAACTCACAAGAAGATACAAGCTTAAAATAAATCAGTAGTTACCTATAGAAAAAGTTAAAAGAGTGATTGAGATTTTAATGCAAAAAATTTAGATGGAATAAAATACGATGCTTTATTCAAATGTTGAGTTGGTTGAGATATGTAAGTTTACATTCGCCTATGAAATCTGAACGAAAATGTAGAGACTCGTACACAGGCGCATCTGTTGGCGATGGCAAAGAGAATATCAATAGCTTTGTTCATAATATTTTGATCATTTCATTGGCAAATGATTTTCAAAAGATCTATACATACAGAGATCTTCGTTAATAACAACCTTCTTACTTGAAGGGCTTTTGACTCGATAGAGTGTGTTGTGCAAACACAGCAGAAGCAAAATCAAAATCAAAGCATAATCAACACAAAGAACACGGCAATTTATGTGGTTCGGCAAAGATGTCTATATCCACGGGGAGGGGATGATTTCATTATTATGGAGAAACAAATAGGATTATAATCGGCTCTCTCTCTCTCTCTCATGTACTTTCATCTATCTGCAACAACCCTCAAACCCCTTTTAAATAGATTTAAGACAAAACAAATAAGAAAAACTTTCTAATCAGAGCATCAATCAAATCTCCTAATTAATGCAATAATCAACCCCCTAATTACTATATGAATTAGCCATCAAAACTTTCCAATATAAAGCTTATTTAGATTTGGAAAGATTTCTAAATCAACAATCTCTACCTCATCTTTCACTTCAGAAAGTGAAAGTTGACAAATCAGGCTCCAATATCAAAATGAAGGCATCAAGATGATTGCCTACACCCCGCACCCATTTCCCTCACCCCCGCCCCCCCCCCCCCCAAAACACACACTCCCAAGGGATGGCAATCTTTTGAATTGATTCCATCTCTTCATCCATAACCCTCTTCCATATATCACCATAGAGGCTATCCACAACTTCCTTGTAATGACTAAGAATTTCAGCCTCCGTGGCAAAAATACAGCTGTAATGTATTCCCTCAACCAAGCTGATTTTGAGACACTAACACTTAGACCTAATCTTCATAAAAATTTTATGAACTAGAATCTTATCCTCAACATAATTTTCTACCTCACTCTGTATTTCATGATATGCAGCTAAATCAGGTACTTGGGTAAAAGTGATCTATCTCTGTGGAACAAATGGAGTTGCATGAAACTCCAATGTATGTAGTGCATCTGTGAACTCCAACGTATGCAGTGCATATGTGATCCCAATAGAACTCTCCACCTGCTTCAAGTCCCGAGACTTCAACATACTCGCCTCATCGAATGTAACATCCATGCTAATGATAATATTCTTCTCTATTGGATTATAGAGTTTGAAGCCTTTGACTTAACACTTGAAGCCAATAAAGATTACCTTCTGTGCTCTTGGTTCCAGTTTATCATTTTAAACATGACAGTAAGCTGGACACCCAACACTCTTAAGTGCTTATAATCTCAAGCGGGATGCCTTAACTGCATCTACTTTAGAGTCTTATTCCTCATAGCTACAAAAGGAAAATAATTCATGAAGTGATAAGCATAGTCTATAGCCTCAGACTAATAGACTCTATCCAACCCAATATTGGATAACATACACTGAACTTTGTTCAACAATGTCCGATTCATCCTCTATATCACCTCATTCTATTACAGTGCCTCTCTAACAATGAAGTGATGCTCTATCTCAAATCTCTGGCACTCTGGCGGGAATACAAACGATGTGTTTTCACCCTCATTGTCTTATCTGATACATTGGATTCTTTTGTAAGTCTGGATATTAATTCACTTCTTCCAAGCTTTGAAAATCCTCAATACCTCGCTTTTGCGCCTTATAGTCTACGCCCAAGCATGTATGGAGTAATCATCAATAAAAGAGAGAAAATTTAGTTGCTTACTGAATGAAGTTATCTTCATCATGCCCCAAACATCTATGTGAATATTATTTGTATTGTGGATAGTAAAACTAAAGGATATATGTGTCTTCTTCGATAGTGTTACGAATATTTTCATTAGAATATTTCTTACAGATTTTTGGTGGAATTTAAAATTTTATGAAAAATTTTTATAATAAATATTTATAAATTAAATAAATAATTTTAAAAATTATTATTAAGTTAAATTAATTAGTTTAAATTGACTTATTAACTAATTTAATAAGTATTATTAAATAATTTTAATTATGGCAAAAAAATTTAGAATTTTGAATTAAAAAATCTTATTATTTAAGAATCTTTATATATAATTTAATGATTAAAAAATATTATTAAAAAATCTTTTAATAAAATATAATATATTCAAAATATTATATAATAAAAATAATATTTAA